AAGATGCGCGTTAAATATCGAATGCGATTTATCGTGCAGCCCTAGCCTAAATCAATCAAGGTGGCTGTGGTCTGAATGGAATGCTAATGTTTTGCCTACTGCATACTATATTATTGTGCCATGATTTTACTACATACCAGGAATAATTACAATTTTGTATTTAATTTGTTTTATTTAAATGTTTTAAAGTATAGGGTGGGGGAACTATGACGTCACTCTGTAGGCGGATCGGCTGTTAGCATCACACTGGTTCCCTCAACAAAAAACCTATAGTTTTGTCCATCAAGATAATCTTCACAAAATAATATAACTTTTATGAATTTTGATGCCTGAATAAAAGCGGCAGAAATTAAAAGCTAAACTTAGGCTATAAACGAACTACAGCACCACGGTCGCTCGCCTTCAAAGTCACCACCACCTGCTCCTGACAACTTTTTCAAACTTATTTCAGTGAAAAGGGATATACACTGTATATGAATTTTAATCCACGCTACATGAACCGTGTCATATAAACTGGAATAAATACAAAACTAGAGCCAAACTAGGGCTGGACAATAATTCAATATCAATATGTATCGCGATATAATTTTTTTCAATAACGGTGATATGATTTTTAAACACATTTCCGATATTTCGATATACATTACCAGTTTCCCATACATTGATTTATTTGTGCCGTTTGACTTCGTTGAATAAACATGAGCACGACAGCGCCTGTAGTCCCATTTAGCAACTTGTTAGCAACCGTCTTTTTTAAGAAACGTAACCGTTTAAAAAAAAATCACGAGTGGGGTGTAATATGTGTGTTTTATGTCGTAGAATAAAACGTGAAAGTATCTTGAGCTTGTGTGAACCACGTACCTTATTTTAGGGATTTAACCAAAATCCCATTCAAAAAAACCCATTGACTCTGGGACGATGGAACCGGAAGTGCTAAAATGCTAATTCGCTTCCGGGTTTTTGCCTACAAAGTGACATCATAGTTCCACCACTCTATTGCAGTTTGATCAAATAATGAGTCAAGAAAGAGATGCAGTTCTCTTCATTCACTTCATATAGAAGGACAAGTTGAGAAAATTGCATTGTGGGATATGATATTCACTGTAGTGTGTTTGTATACATCACATTTTAGCAAATTTAGCATCCTGGTCTTTCATGCTTGCAATATCAGCCTACATATTGCATACTAAAAAAATAGTATGAGTAGGTATTATTCCTTTAAGGACAAACCCAGGCACGTCCCCTCTATAGTGCACCTCAGAGCACGTTCAAGCTTGTTTCTTTAATGCATAGTCACTCAAAAAAGGTTCAAAGGAGTATAGTGTTTGGGTCCATATACACAGTAGTTATTGTTTGGCACTTGTCTGTTGACTTTGTTCTAAGTGAAGGGGACGTGGCCGTCATTACACAGCAAAGAGAATCTTAAACGGCAGCTGCAGATTTGTATGGCCTTGTTTCGTCTGCTGCACCACCCCCACCCCATACCTCCCCTCCACTCCTTCAGTTTGCACAAGAAAATATTTCCAGATGTTCCAAGAAAAGACCTCTATTTCAGCTGCAAGTTCCGTGTGAGGTTCACAAGTCTTGCCAGAGGCGGCGTATTATTTGACAATTGAGTCCTGCGGTGGTAGTTATGTTATAAGCTGCTGCAAATCCGACAGAGGTGACTAGTTTCTGCCAAGGTTTAGTGACAAATTAAAAAAACGAAACATTCTGCATTCTATCTATGACTACCACCTGTCTGTCTCTCTATTGTTCTATCTACCATTCTATGTATAGTTCTATTTATTGTTCCTGTCTGTCTGTCTCTCGCTATATCTATCGTTCTATCTGTCTGTCCATCTGTCTGTCGTTTTATCTGTCTGTCTCTAGTTATCTATCGTTCTATCTGTCTGTCGGTTTGTTTGTTTGTTTGTAAGGGATTATCTACTAGGGATTCTCATTTAGGTCTCATTCTCATTAATTTTCCAGACAGACAACCGCTGCTTGTTATCTGAACCTTAACTGTTAACGGAATCGGCCGATTTTCCTCATGATCGACCCGGATCTGTGATCGGCCGGCCAGTCTCACTTCTTTCCGATTTCGAGCCGATCCGTTTTGTTACCAGCGGCACAGGCAATAACGTCAGCCGCGCATTCTCGCTCTCTTCTCTCTGACGACCCCTTCTCTCTCACACACGTCTCATTCGCTCCGGTTAAATAGTGCTTGTATTGCACATTATTTTAGTCATTCCCGCAGGTTTTGCGCTTAGACCAAACGCGCGCTCACCACCACTGATCTATATTAGTGGAGCGCACAAGCCGCGCTCAGTCTCAAACAGCTTGTGAGCCACAAATACCAAATTGAGTGGCTAACTGCGCTAAAACGTTCAAATACATAAAAAATTGTCAAAGTGACCGTTTTGGCGAGTATCCAGTTAAACACAGTCAGTTTTGGAACGTTAAATAGTTGAGAAAGAGAACGCATGTTGTGTAACAGTATATTGGGTCCGTGGATAAACTCTTAAAGGGACCGCAGTCCAATATTTATGCTGCTGTCTGTCATGTTAATCAAAGAACAAAAGACAAAGAAAATAATTTTCTGCTCTTGACTGAATACGTTTTATAACTTTAATGGTAAGCATTAATCTGTATTTAATTTGTACAATGAAGTCTACAGAAATTAAAGTAATCAAATATAAAACAACACTGGATGTGTTATTTTACATTTGATTACTTTAATTTCTGTAGTATTTCTTAACTGAATAAAAACGTACTTAACCTGAAAAACTTAGTTTCATAGCTCTCTTTATTCTATTGCATTTATTTATGCTGTTGTTTGCCATTTTTTTTATTTGTTCTTATTTTATTACTGAATTTTTACTTGTGTTTTTTT